CAATGTGTTTTCAAGAAAATGATTACTTTCTATTTGTTGAGGTGATCTATTTGTTTTAAGCAAATGCATTGAATTCAAATGTTATGGGCTTATAGTCATAGACTTTTTTATTTCATCAATTTTTTTTAGAGCATCCCAACTTGTAATTTCTTCCAAATGTTAATCTCAGATGCTTTTGGTAACCTAACACTTGTGTGTTAGATATCCTGTTAAATGTTCATCTCACTTTTCCTGTTCGTAGGAAGCCAAAATATAGTTTGAAGTTTGCTTCCTGTGTTTAGTGTTGCCCCTGGCAGAGGATTAGCTACTAGGTAAAGTTATACTCATGGTGCTTTTTTTTTTAACTTGTAAGGTTTCTTTTTCCTAATGTTGCTGTTTTAATGGGATTTCTGCTATTTCCTGGCTAAATCTTGAAATAAAGACGTTTAGAATTAAGTATTTCAAGTGTCTGACAAATGGAGGTCAAGCGAGTGAAGAGAGATGTTAAAACTTTGCTGTAAGTAACATGAAATAAATTCACTGTACTGTATCAGGATAAAGTGATCATAAATTGTTCATTTGTAAGCACATACTTTCAGAACAAAGTTTTTTTTAAAACTTTTTTTAGTGATGAATATATTGGACAGCGACTCCGAGAAACTGGTTTTGATCCGAAGGGAAAAAGCACTTCTACAATGTTAGATGATTTGGTAAGTGATCGATATTAAAATGAAAGTTTAATTTCAAAGGACAGGTTTGTCTTATTGAGAGAGTATGGATATTAGTTGCTGTTGTTTTTGCTTCTTACGTTATAATAAAAAAATGGAAAAACAAGATTCAAGCTTAGGATTTGTTCTAAATACATCTGCATATTCATATAGGCCCATTATGACTTGGCTATAAGTGTGGCTTTGTGGTGGCTCAGTAAAGATAATGGGAAGAATGCAGCTGAGAATGACTACATGTGAGTAATTTATATAAATGGTATTTGTATTTGTGCAATAGATTTATTTTTATGTGCAGTGTTTTGCCTCACATTTGGCAATGATATGTTGTTTGTAGAGGAATTGGCAGTTTAAGACATATTAGCCAGTACCCTAATCACCTGGAAAGAGAAGCGATGATCCTTTCTTCCTTTGCTGGAATGCTTCTGGTAAGGATAAGTAAGCAGTTTCAACAACATTTGTGTTTTTGTCCACAATACAAGCCATATCATTGTTCTCTCATTTTCAGAACAGCTTACCTATAGAAGACATTCTGTCTCTGTACAATTGCAAACCAGTGGCATCT